TCCCCCCGTCCCGTATCCGATCCCGGTCTCATAGAAATCTAAGGCCCGTGCTTGCGTTACACACGTGGGAAACTTTCGTGTTTGAAGTGATACGCAGCGTGGCGTTGCATTCTCGCGATATATCCCGCGCTCCTGTCGTTTCACGCCTCTGCAGACGAGGCGAGCGGCCCCTCGAGAGCGTCCCGACGAGCAGCGTTTCTCTTGTTGCTGCGTAAAAAAAAAAAAAGGAAGAAAGATAATGATTTCTCCCTTTGCATCGATAAACGGACCCCGCGCGCGATTGAATTGGTGAGCTCAGAAGCGGCGTGAGTCACATAGCAGGAATGCATCATAGGAAATAAAGAAATCGCCTTTCTCCGTTTAATGCAAGTTGTTCCTGCACTTGTCGAGATCTAACGCGTCGCGCCATATGGGAATATCGGGGCGACTGATGCTGTTGCGTCCGCCCGTTCCTTCGCAACAGCTGCTATTCCGAATTCGGGCGTCTCTTGCTGTATTTGCTGCCACAACATAAGTGCCAAGAAGTCGCCAGAATGATTACGAGAATGATAAGAGAGTTTATACGTGATATTGGGGACGGCACGAGACGTCCCATTCTTTCCGCTGAGATATAGAAAGATGAACGTACGGTGGTCGAGTTGCATCGGAGGAGGGGAGAATCTCCTTCCTCACCTGTAACAGAAAACGAAGGAGATGGTGATTCACTTTGAAAAAATTCTCCTTGGTGAGGTCGTCTCCTTGAGAGAGTCTACCGACATGAAAAATGGTCGCGCCAGAAAGAGAGAGAGAGAGAGAGAGAGAGAGAGAGAGAGAGAGAGAGAGAGAGAGAGAGAGAGAGAGAAAGAGAGGTCGAGAGTCCCACGACCGGAAGGACGCGAGGATCATATAACGTGCGTCATTAACGTGACTAGAACAGAATGAGCTTTTTCACTTCAATGGAATTGATAATCGTAATAAGTCATCGCGACAATTGAATTTGAGAAAATCTATCTCTCTACAAGATATGAGAATGCATTATGCATGTCAATTATTTGATTTGATCGATTGAAATTTGAACTGAATCATCCATTTTTACTATGAATATATTTATCATGGAGGTAAGAAATAACAGGAGGGAGGCTATTCCCCTGGCTAAGCAGATGTGAGAGGGGAACAATACAAAACGCCATATTACTGTGGCCAACTATAATCACATTTGGCGTAGTAACCCTCAACTCCAATAAAGTATGTGCAAAACGCCATATTACTGTGGCAAACCAATCACATTTGGCATGGTAACAACCACTAACAAAAAGGCCTTACACTCCCTTCTGTTATTTCTTACCTCCATGATATTTATGTATACAATTAATTGTATGTATATTTATACAGGGTGTCTTATAATAGGTGTATCACCGTTCATGGGTAGATAGAACAGACTAAATTAAACAGAAAAGTCCTCTACCATTTTGCAAAATTCGCAATTGTTAACAAGATATTAATTTTTGAAGATCGGCGAATAAACTTAATATCTCGTTAATAAATGCGAATTTTACAAAATAGAGGGCTTTTCTATTCAGTTTAATCTACTTATCTTGCCACGCACTTGCATTTAGCGGTGGGCCGGATGAATACGCGTTTATTCGTCAATCTTCAAAAATTAATGTCTGATTTACGATTGCGAATTTTGCAAAATGGTAAAGGACTTTTCGATTCAGTTTAGTCCGTTCTACCTACCCATGAACGGTGATACACCTATTATGAGACACCCTGTATAATTACAGTCGAACCTCGATAATTCGAATCTCAAAGGAAGAGAAAAATCTTTCGAGTTATAGAGTTTTCGACTTATTGAAATTCGAGTAAAAGAGGGTTAAAATATGAAAATTTGACTTACAAATGCTTTGTACGAGAGTTTATAATTTTCCGATTATAATGTCTTTCAAAGGAAAAAAAATCAGTATTTAACAGTGAATTATTTATTGCATACATATAATATAATATATGTAATCATAAAACAAAATACCAGGCATATACTCATGGTTACACATAGCTACAACTTGGAATTATAGAGGCAGCGATAATAGAAGTTCGACTTATAGAGGTGAACTTCGATTTGTAGAGGTCTGGTTACTTTAAATTCGAGTTGCAGAGGTAAAATAATACATCTAAATATTTCGAGTACAAATAATTCGAGTTAAGGTGGGTTTTATTTTGATTTATAGAAGTTTTCCGCAATGGAACGGAAGAGAATGAACAAAATTTTCGTCTTACAGAGGTTTTCGAGTTGTAGAGATTCGAGTTATCGAGATTCTGTAATTGCATATATTAAATCGAAGAAACTTTCGTAAAATGTTGAAAAAAACGAGCTTTCGCAAACGCATATATATGCAATTATACAACGCGTTGCGAACCTCGTCAAATGTTGAATCGTCGAACGATTTGCATCGACATCTCGACCGAGAAGAGATGATCTCCCATAATCTCTCTCTCCTCGTGTCGTTAATTAATTTGGATAAGCGGCGAACGGGAAACAATTTCCATTGTACATCAGCAGGGAGAGGCGGTAAACGGGTGAGAGAGAGAGATATTACCGGAGGCAGGGGCGGCCGGCTCACGTGAGCGCCCTCTCTCCCGTGAGCGACATTAAAATGAAAGTTGTTCCGTGTGGCACAATTAATTTTCCACATTGTTGTCCGCGCTCGCGGACGTTGCGGCCGCGGTGTTTAACGCGTCCGCGTTCGCGCCTCGCGTCGTAACGATCGGCCCACTTACTCACGATGAATGAATCGCAGCAGGAGAGATTCTCCCGTGGCCACGGGGTCGTGCACGGGCTCGCGACCGGTGGGAGAGGGGGGGGGGCCGATCCGGGGGGAAAGAGATTCGCACGCGCGAATTTCGCGTGTGCTCCTGTCGACGGGAAGACGCATTTCTATCGCGCTCGTGCGCGTTTGCAACTCTCCTCCTGCAACCTCGTGTGTGCGTGGTGCCACACTTGTGCTCTTTAAACGCTTTACTTTCATGCTACGCGGAGTGGACGGAGGACGAGGGGCGAGCGGAGGCAGAGAGGACGATGACCCGCTGCCGATGACGGCACAGAATGAGCCGAACACGCACGCGTATGTGTGTGAAAACTTGAGCGCAATGACGAACGCAAGCGCGCACACGCTATCTTATCGAATCGTATTGTCCTACCATTTTATTGGAATCGATGATAAAGCTCGTGATGTGTAGGAGCAATCTGATTCGATTAGTGCTGCTTTCGTTGCCGCCGCCGCGCCGGTCGCATATCTTCGAGAGGTAGAATAGAATCTAGTTGAATCATCCACATTACTAATCGTAACGAAAGATGAAAACAGGATTTTGAATTGGAAACGCCACTGCTCTCTCGATCGAGGCACTTTTGCTAATGGGAAGCAAATCCTGCGGCGCGAAAAAAAGTTAATGTAAGGAAGGAAGGAAAGGAACGAATTGAAATTGAATGTGCAAATATACGCGGCGAAATTTATTGGGAAAGAGCGCAAGCGGCACGAACGGCGTGGCTGCGAAATCGCACGAGTCTGCAAAAGATTGAATCTATCGCGAGTTGCGTGATAACGCTTTTCAAAGAAATGATTAAACTCGCTTACATTTCTTGTGACGACACATTACGATCAATTCCAAGACTTCAAAATGATGAGTTAACTTACGTAAAAATAACATCAAACAAATTTTCTTCCTTGAGGATCTTTTATTCACTTAACGCAGCTTGATAATTAATGATATATTGTCCTTTGACTCTATATTTATATAGTCAAAGATATTGCCGACTTGAATCGAAGAGAAAGAATTACGCTGACGATCGAAGATCCGTCCCTCGCTATGACTCGATTGTATGCTTTTTATAATTCATACGTCATTTCCGGACAATCGATTCGTGCCGCTCGGCAAAAAGAGATTCTAAGTGGATCTCTGGCTTCGATTTGCTTCGCAGGTCGCATCTTTCGTTTATTGCTGACGTATAATGATAATTGAAGGGACGTTATTTTCTCTTATTGATAATGCCTTTTAAAGCCATGATGCTAAAAATTGCCCCGAGATCTCGAACAGAGAAGGAATTAACAAATCATATTTGGAACAATTTGGCCAAATATCGATTGGCCAATTCTTTCTCCGTTTAAACTCTTGGAGCGATTTCTAGTAGGGCTGGTGATTTGCTTCGAAGGCTTCGACATTCGAACTTCGAAGCTTCGAAAATTCGAAGTTTCGAAAAATACTTTCGTGCAAATGAATTCATTCAGAAAATTTTCAAATATTATAAATAAAAGAATTAATATATATGCTTAAAATATATATACCTACGTAATTATTTCTAAAAAATTTAATAATTTTATAACCTGAAATATTACAAATTAATAATTATACTTGATACATATGTAAAGGAAAGATAATGATCAATAAAACAATCAAATTAAGAAAATTCAAAAAAATAAAAGTAAATTTATTCTTAAATAAATGAACAAAAATATAATAAATTAATATAATTGTTTTGGCATCTTTAAATCTTCTCAGTGTAAAACAATTTTAAAAACAGAAAATTTAAAATTGTAAAATTAATAAAAATTATTAATTTTTCAATTAAATTTGCAAGAATGTATTTTTCAAAACTTCGAAGCTTTGAAGGCATCTTAAACTTTGAATGGTCAAAGTTAACTTCGAAGCTTCGAATATTCGAAAGTAACAGCCCTAATTTCTAGTATTGTGGTTTAAGATAGATTTGCATTGTCTGCAAACAAACGTCGCAATAATTGCCGGTGGATGGAATATTATCCGAGCATCGTGTGTATAATCCACGGATACTTAATATTTGCATTACGTTTATATTAGCGTCGCGCGTTTCAGAAGTGTGTCTCGTCTTGCGTCTCTCGGAAACTTGGTTCCACACGAGTCAAGTGACTCGTTCGCACGTAGGTGGAGATTCCAGAGGCAGAGAGCGAGAGCGGGATCTTGCTCTTTTCGCCCGAGGAGCGACAGAGAAAAAGACGGTCGAGACTGCAGTCGATTCCGTCTGCGAGGACAGGGACGGGAGTCGAGACGGCGGCGCGTATCCGTAGACAACACTTTGCGCTGCACGCACACGCGGTTTTTTATAGTTGGAAAAAGATTGAGCGCGTATAAAACGCGCGACGGTGCTTTTTCCGTTGGGTATACCTCGTTCCATCTATCTGTTGACGACTAGGGAAAAATTAGATTTTTTTTTTTTAACAGAAGGGAGCGGAATATTCAGCGTTCCGTTTCGCCGCTTCAGCTACATTGTATATTTACGTCATTCTCTTTTAATAATCCGTTTAATATCTGGTCACGCCACGGTGGAAGTTGGACGGTTGTTTTATGGAAAGGGTAAACGACGAGAGTAGGTAGAGCGGGATTTACGCGTGAAGAACGTAACGTTGTAAAACGATAGGTTTAAAGCTGACATGAGATAGCCAGCCTCAGGAAATAACGTTAGGAGAGATAAGTTTCGGCACACGCACGATAATAATGCCACCCCGTTATTATCTCGATGCTTCGGGTGTTTATGCGTTCAACGGGACGATATATAATGACAATGCGCTTTTCTGCTCCGCAGGGTCGGCACACCAAGACCGGTCAGCTGGCGGCCATCAAGGTCATGGACGTCACGGAGGCAAGTATTCGGCTGCAGCGGCGATGCTGTGGTTTAATTACCACCTCGTTTTGAGACAGGGTTGCCACAGACCTGGAAAACTGGGGAAAGTCGGGGAAATTTAAACTAGTCAGGGAAAATCGGGAAAAGTCGGGGAAAGATATAAAAGACTCTGGAATTTTGAACTTTGCTCCTTAAAAGAGATCCACCCTGATTCTGTAACTCTTAATGACAGTTCGGTATTGTTATATTTTTTGTATGTATTGCTTTTTCTGCTTTGAAAATCTTTTTCCAGAATTAAACAATAGAAAATAACAGAATAAAATAATCTTATACAAAAAATTTTTGAAAATTACAATTTTGTTCGAGACTTCTCTCTGTTATCGCAATCGAAAATATTCTGAATATTTAGCGATATTAAAGAAATGTCTACAGGAATCTTTTTGCTTTTACCATCGAATTTTTGTCTGATCCCTAAGCAACGGAAAATTCAGTTATATCAAAGGAAT